AATGCTTATAAAAAAATTCAAAAGATGATGTAAATAATAAAAAAATACAATATAAGCTACTACATGCATTTATCAGTATGTTTTAATAAAATAAAATGTATTTCAGCAATGCATTCTTAAGATGGAGGAGATTAATGAACCCTCCCCCCTTACAATGAACAACACATGGACACTCTGAGGATGATCCCTTTGCTTCCATTAAGAGTTCCAAGGTATGGTTTTCTTAGAAAATCTAGTTAATCTCTTAATAATTAATTTATTTAGAACTTTTTATAGATTATTAGAAAATAAATTTCTTCAGAACTGCAGTTATTTAAGCACTTTGCTTACAATTGAGCAGTATTCAGTCGGACAATATGATTTATCTGCCCTTGGCATTTAATCAATTTATTAATTATGTCAATAATAATAAATGATATGCAAATAAATATGTTTGCCTTTTATGAGAATATACATATTTAACACCAATTACATAAAATGTTCATGGAAATTGGCTAAAATGTAGGTCACCCCCTTCAAAATTACAAAATTTTCAGTGGGGATGTATTTGATTCTCTGATGCCAGCAACCCGTTGCTGATAAAATTCCAAGTAATCTTATGTACATTTGAACTAGATATAATTCTCTTTCTTTCCATTGATTATTTTATCTACATTAGTTTTCCCTCTTTCCATAACTCAGTATTTTCATACAAAAAACTGCTGATTTTCTTCATTTTTCATTAATAACGGGTACCTGCTACCCTGAATGATAAACATGACCTATCTTGAGAATTTTTTAGAGATAATAAGAAAAACAAGCAAAACATATGCTAGATTAATCATTTTATTTCAAAAGTTTGAAAGAAAAATAGAAAAATGCTTCAATTTATAGACATCTTTTCTGTTTCACAGATGTGGGTCTGATTGACGGGGGTGTGAAATGTAACAGCCAATGGTGTACTTAAGCTAGGACTGACAGTCCCAATTTTCAAGAGGTGAGATAACCAATGGATATGTGTTCTAAATATATAAATTGACCACTTTTTATAAATGTTTCTTTTTTCTATAGGAAAAACCCCTACATAAACAAATACATGGGCGCAGACATTTTGGACACCCAAAGTTGTGCGGAGGAGAAAATGCTAGCTGGCGCATGGTTGGTCAATAAGAGAAAAGACTTGTTATGTATCTGACTAGTGAAATAAAGTTGATAAAAATCTCATAGCAAGACTTGGGATTCTTTGAGATATATAGGAGTTACAGGTAAAAATTTGAAGGGAGGGGTGCCCTTTGGTTAGAGATTTTCATTTGGTGTCAAACGCACCTTGTTGTAAACAAATGGAAATTGAAAGTAAAAGTGCCGCGTGACGGTATATTTTTTCTGGCATGTTTTGTTTTCCAATATCTCGAACTTTCACGGCAAAAAGGTCATTTGCCCAAAATTCAATATATGTATGAGTGACAGGGGCTCAAGTTTGTATGGAAGTCTATGGGAAAACATTTGGTGGTGAACAAAGTACGTTTTGTGGCGAATTTTGCCGATTCTGAAAAAATATTGATATTTATTATACGTAAAGTTTAGAATTTTATCTTTCTAATAATGTATAATTTACTTATATCTGACCACGTGGCATGTACTGGACATTATTTTAAAAAGTGGGTTTTTATTACCGTAACGTTAGTTCCGACGTCGACGTCCGTTAATCTGGACGACGTCAATGACGTTATATCTCATTTGCCTCATATGAAAACCAAACATATAAACGATTGGAGAGTTTTTTTTTTGGACATACAAGTATATAGAAAAAGAAAAGAACATGCAATAAAGTTTATACATGAAATAGTTTTTTTTTTTCACTTTGAAAGTATGCCAAATTTTTAAACAATTTACTGCAGGCAATGTAATGCTACCCAAACTATTTTAGCTGGTCTCGCTATTCTTTTCCTCAATCATGTTGCCGTATTTTAATGTACTTCTTGTACCGACATACCCTTGATATAAAAAATATTTTCCCCCTGAAAATCCTTGTTAAAATAATTTTCCACTCGGTATAGTTGTCTCATTTCAGAGGATAAAATCTATTCGTATGAACAACTGATATGAATATTTACCTTATCATTTCTCCCTTCTGCTGATTAGGTAAAACAACGAAAATTCAAAGTGAGGAAAATGTAGAGGATATTTAATAATGACATATGCAATTCTTAAAATCAATTCATTTTTATAAAAAAAGGAACTTTTATCACAGAAAATGTAAATAACAAAACTTCAAAGCAGTCAACATTCATTCCTCCGTCGGACTCTCTGCACCACTGTCCGATTCATCAACAGCGTCTTCAAGGTGATCCGCCCAGTTTCGAACGCCTTTCAAAGGTTTAGACTGGTGACGCGCAAAGGAAAGATACCAAAGCACGCTGGTAATGTGTGCACAACACCCTACAACACGGGACCCAGCCTTACATTTACAGTACCACGATACAATTACTCCTTCACTGTGGCGAATCCAACAAAGGTATTTCTTGGCCGACACGTGACGACTTTGTATTTTTGCCCCAATGATGTTTGGTTTATCTTCTGCAATAAGAATATCATACGCACCGTCTTCTTGGAAATGTTCATGCGTGTATGCTCTGGCCATCTTGACCTGATAGGTTCCTAATGTGATATTTCGAATCTCATCTTCCGACAGAATAGGGAAATCTAAGGCAACACTATCTGCATCAAGGGTTTTCCACTGGGAAGGCCTCCTGTCCCAACCCTCGCTTTCCACGAGCTCTCTGAGCTCATTTCCCTTCTGTGACAAATGACGCATTTTCATTGCGATTGCTTGATCGTCGTCGGTTCCAGTACTTAATGGAGGACAATATCTGTTGGAAATTGCAGCTACTATACGCACATAATCTGCTATGAATGGAATCTGATTATTGGATACTGTGCGGTCAAGGTATTTCCAACGCTTTATTCGTCCGTTGGCGGACTCCACAACCCAACGCACCTTAAAAGATATGAACAATTTTTTTTTGCAAAAAGAATACCACATCAGAAATAAAACTTAGATTGACTTTCAGATAAAAATACTAAACGTGTAATCTAATCAAAAAGATACCTTCGTAATCAATCTGGAACTGTTTGACTCCTCAGTGGAGTGTTGCTTTGCTCCTTTCAGAAAACTTGGCATCTCCATTCTAATTCCGATGTCCGCCAGAATGTCCGTGCTGTCTCTGAAGCCACGGTCGACTATAAATGTGTCTCCGTCCTGTAACCAATTTCTCATCTCTTCAGCATTTCTTTCTATCATGTGGGTTAGAATACCTGCGTCATTGTTTTTGGAATCCGCCAGATATGGTCCTAGGACGGACACAATGTATCCGGATGTCGTGACAACCATCATGGGCTTTACAAGAGGGCGATGTTTATGCAGGCTATAGGAACGTCTGAAAAAGGTAAAATTGTTAGACTTCTGGATGTATATGTAGGTTCCGTCCAACACTAGCAAGGCTGGGGTTTCTGTCATACCAGGGGAAAACAATTCCTGTGCTAGAGGCCTCGTATGCTTTTGTATGACGTCGTCTCGAGAAATATGGCCAAATCCCAGGTTTTGTGGCACAAAGTCCTTCATGAGGGAGCGTCTCGCTGAGGAAACGGCTCTGCGTACCTTAAAAAAATAGAAAGATTTATTCAGGGAACTTGTTTTTAATTAAACATTTAAAATGTTTAAAAAATTATTATCTTCTTACAAGAACAATTAAACACCAATGATCAGTGTTTAAGCGTCAATTTAGCGTACCTGCCACTTTTTCATATTGAAAAGGGTAGCCAGCATTTTGTTGTCTAGAGCACATCGCAGTTTCATCAGCAAAATGGCAACACAGGTGCGGATGCTTCTGGATTTGGATGTCTTAATATCCTCCACATTAAGCATCAGATCATCGAACTGCGTCCGTGTGAGTCCTGTGAGGTTGCGATAATCCTCGGCAGAAAGAGAGGTCTCGCTATCAAAATCCAGACGAGTGGATGCATTTTTCTTCGCATAATTTCTTAAACTGTCAAGAAGATTCCTCAAGTTATCATTACTGAGTGAGGTACATTTTCTAACTCTCTCGGAAACTCCGTAGCTCAGCGCCTCTGATGTCAAGTGTCCGCCATAAATATGAGACGGACAACATCTGGAACCCTCCTTCATGAACACACCAAGTTGTACAAACATCTCAAGCCGGGCCTGTTCTGGAATGACAACAAGTTTACGTGGTTTCTTTTCACATATTCCACAAGCGTCATGTCGATATCCAGTGGACAGAATGGGTAGTGTTACAGGATCAGGTGGAGCAGCATTTTCCTTGTCTTCAGTATTATGGACTTCTGGTATTTTGGAGCCTTGTTTGAGGGAGAAGTAGTAGAGTTGCCTGCATTTGTTACACACTACGTCATTTTCGCTCAAGTCTTTCAAAAATCTCTTTGACAAAAATTTTCGAAGAGCCTGATTTCCATAAAGCGGTCTTCGTTCACTGGTCTTGATACGCTTACAGCAGGTTATACACGAATATGGCTTATACTTGGAGGTGGATGACATTTTACAGAACCTAGAAAAATAATTTTCAAAGGTTTTATTATTTGTACGTTTGCTTGTTTTTTTCCTCAATATAAAAACGTAATAATCAATTAAGTCTCTTAATTGTTAAAGCAAGCAAAATTAATAAGTTAAGCTGCATAGTGTTTAATTTTCCACTCCGCGATTTAAAAATGTCTTATGAAGATGAAGGCCAAAGCAGGAAATGTCTGATATATTTGATATTTATTTACCTATCTCAAAAGTAAAAGAATTTCAAAAATATACATCAATCAATTCCGTATTTTTCTACATTCCCGTATAATAAACATGCGTATAAATGAGTAAAAACGGCAATTTTTTGCATTCGCCTGACCTACTTATTATTGAAACATATGGTATCTTCTATGTCGAGTGCTTAAAGAAATTTAAATAAATAGTCTTGCGTGTTTTTGGGATATCATGAGACATTTTATTTTGTTAGTTTCTTAAAGATGTATATATGATTTGGGCAGTTTAAATATTTAAACTGATGTACTGGGAATTTATAATTGAAAAGTAATTGCGTTATTTGATCTTTGGAACGTGTTTGCAATTTCTCAAACTTGACATCTCTCTCTCCATCCCACGGTATCAATGCTATTAGCTCATAATATAATCAGGTTTCAAATGGTCAGATCTTAAATTGGTGATTCTTTGAATTTGTTTCGCTTACTTAAATTTTTACCTGTGTTATTAATTAATGTCATTGAGCTTTATCCAATTTTACTACAGTCTTGAAGCTTGTTTCATTGGTTCATTTATGAAATGTAGGGTGAGTTGTCCAAAATGAGACGTGTGTAAGTTTGTCTGTAATTCACTCTCACTTTTGGAAATGTATTTTTTTTTATTTAATTGTACTTTTCGACTTGAAGAAATTCTAAACTTTAACCAGGAATTATTTCAACAACGTGATTATCATTTCGAAACAATATAATTATTACACGTAACCCCCCCACCCCCACCTTCCCTGGGTGCAAATCGCATAGCGGTTTAGAATCCACAGGTAAAAGTCGGGTCGCTCAGGTTGTAAACAAGAACGCGAGTTATCTCCCCGAAAACTGACATTCATTTCTCAATATAGATTATATTTTTTAAGTATTGAATACATACATGTATATATAAATGTGTTTGTTAATTAAGGCTGACTATTTGTTTTATTTATAAGTTTAAAAATCTACTTAGGATATCATGCCGACTTAAATTCTACACTTTTGCTGTCGATTAGAATACATACGCATTTTGTTTCCACTAAAAGTATGAATCGGGTCATGGCAATGACAATCACTTAGCACGTATCGATAATTTTAGATATGAAAAAAAAAAAATATTCGACCCTTAAATTTCTGATAAAAAAGTATAATTGTCTTGAATATTACATCAGAAAATTGTTTTAAAAAAGACAAATTTTCACAAATAATATTTTATTTAACATCTCTACCACAGGGGCTTGCTCCCGACGTGTTATACGTAATCATTTATTTTTAAAAATCATATACGGTAATAATAACACACCGTATAGATCTATGAATTTTTAAAGATAAATAATTATTACACGACGGAAGCATGTCCCTTTAATCTCTGCAAACTTATAACTCTTTTAATTTCTAATGGTTGTTTTTACAAGAACTAGAGGGGCTATCAATAATTACAAAGCTGCCTGTAAGCCGAGTCACATGCATATTATAGCTACATAATATTATGTATATTTTTCATTAGAAAATACATAGATTACATCCGGCCCATTGAACTAGTCAAATCGTTACGTTGATAACCCCCCCCCCCCCCCCACACACACACACCTTTCTCGTCTCTCGCACTTAGCTTTCACCACTATTTTTAACTTGAATGTATGGAACATGTAGTGTAAACATGTCCGATGATTTTTTTTTTACTTTAATTTGAAAGTGATTTAAACTATAGAATGACAAACTGATATTCTAACTGGTGGAATATGTTCGACCTTACCAAAATCGAGATCACTATTTGATATGATTATAGTATCCATATGACAGTCCATATGCTTCTAAATATTTTTTGTAGATAATAGAGTGATACCTGATTACAAAACAACATCATGTTTTGTGATAATCATTTTTATTTACATATATGTAATATTGTATCCATTTTTTGCATTGTGCATGTAACTCATGCAGTCATGGTATTATATTATACTACCATGTACATACATTCATTTCATGTACTTTTAGTTATTTGTAATTTTTTTTCCGCTTTTGGATGCAAGAAAAAAGAATAAATAATATTCGAAAGAAATGTATGAAATCTTTTTCGACATATATTGGTAAAATGAACAAAATAATGCATGGAGTAATGGATATCGCAAATGCAAAGCGCACTTGGACTTGCTGTGCAATTTCTACCACGGCAATGGTTCATTCTCTATTTTCAATTAATTTCTTAACTTACTTTTAAAATTCATACAAATAAAATATACCACAAATATCATCTTGATTCTTACCTTTTTTCCGCAGATTTGGATTTCACCCTTTATTTATAAATGTTCTTTGCCTTTACATCAACCTGCAGTTCTTCAACACTGGTCTCCAACGTAAATATTGTGTAAAAGCATGTACTCTTATGTTGCATATATATTTCCGGACTAATTGTTTTTAAAAAATTCATACTGTTCCCACGCATTAACCGACACGAATTTGATAATGATAAGAGGTTTTGAACTTATAATTTTAAATATAAAATATAAAAGTGGTTAATGCTTGGGAAGATATTTAATTTAATTAAAATTTCTTAAATTTACATTAAAAACTAACGGATTTCGTCAAGTGGCTGGTGTTTGGCGTGGTTTTGTGACGTCATAATTAAGTATTACGTCATTTTCATTCTAGTTAATATTAGCTTTGTTCCTAATGTAAATAAAACATAATAGATGAATACAAAATATCGCATTTGAAAAATCGTTAAATTTCTCGGCGAAATGTGGTCAAAAACGTACTTTGTTCTTTGTGTTAATCAGAGTTGATTGTATAACTTATAACAAAATTAGACTTCTGTTAAATAATTAGGTTACTTTGATTTTAAACAAGGGGCCTAATCCAGCAGCAAAGCCAATTTTAGTCATGTAATCAGTGCTGGCTTGATATAAAAGTTATACTTTTGGTGAAACTTAGAGATTACTAGTAGGAAATTTAAATTAAAATACTGTAAAATATATTTTAGCAGAAAATACATTGAAAAAACAAGAAATTTGCAAAATTATTATTGAAAAAATGATGAAAAAAGTGTCTGAATATCCCTCCTCCTTGCCATATCTAATCTTGATTTCTGCAGAAAAGAAGGGGGGGGGGGGTAATTTTGTACTCTAATGATGCTTGAAAATGAAGGATTTTTTTTAAATGTGGTTTATTTGAACAACTAAGAGTCATTCTTATCTGCAGTTATTTTTCCAATTTCTTAGATACTTTTTAAATAATTATCTGAGTAAATTGTATTTAAACATGATTAGTTTAAAGCTATTTCAGCACAAATGCTTATAAAAAAATTCAAAAGATGATGTAAATAATAAAAAAATACAATATAAGCTACTACATGCATTTATCAGTATGTTTTAATAAAATAAAATGTATTTCAGCAATGCATTCTTAAGATGGAGGAGATTAATGAACCCTCCCCCCTTACAATGAACAACACATGGACACTCTGAGGATGATCCCTTTGCTTCCATTAAGAGTTCCAAGGTATGGTTTTCTTAGAAAATCTAGTTAATCTCTTAATAATTAATTTATTTAGAACTTTTTATAGATTATTAGAAAATAAATTTCTTCAGAACTGCAGTTATTTAAGCACTTTGCTTACAATTGAGCAGTATTCAGTCGGACAATATGATTTATCTGCCCTTGGCATTTAATCAATTTATTAATTATGTCAATAATAATAAATGATATGCAAATAAATATGTTTGCCTTTTATGAGAATATACATATTTAACACCAATTACATAAAATGTTCATGGAAATTGGCTAAAATGTAGGTCACCCCCTTCAAAATTACAAAATTTTCAGTGGGGATGTATTTGATTCTCTGATGCCAGCAACCCGTTGCTGATAAAATTCCAAGTAATCTTATGTACATTTGAACTAGATATAATTCTCTTTCTTTCCATTGATTATTTTATCTACATTAGTTTTCCCTCTTTCCATAACTCAGTATTTTCATACAAAAAACTGCTGATTTTCTTCATTTTTCATTAATAACGGGTACCTGCTACCCTGAATGATAAACATGACCTATCTTGAGAATTTTTTAGAGATAATAAGAAAAACAAGCAAAACATATGCTAGATTAATCATTTTATTTCAAAAGTTTGAAAGAAAAATAGAAAAATGCTTCAATTTATAGACATCTTTTCTGTTTCACAGATGTGGGTCTGATTGACGGGGGTGTGAAATGTAACAGCCAATGGTGTACTTAAGCTAGGACTGACAGTCCCAATTTTCAAGAGGTGAGATAACCAATGGATATGTGTTCTAAATATACTAAATTGACCACTTTTTATAAATGTTTCTTTTACTCTATAGGAAAAACCCCTACATAAACAAATACATGGGCGCAGACATTTTGGACACCCAAAGTTGTGCGGAGGAGAAAATGCTAGCTGGCGCATGGTTGGTCAATAAGAGAAAAGACTTGTTATGTATCTGACTAGTGAAATAAAGTTGATAAAAATCTCATAGCAAGACTTGGGATTCTTTGAGATATATAGGAGTTACAGGTAAAAATTTGAAGGGAGGGGTGCCCTTTGGTTAGAGATTTTCATTTGGTGTCAAACGCACCTTGTTGTAAACAAATGGAAATTGAAAGTAAAAGTGCCGCGTGACGGTATATTTTTTCTGGCATGTTTTGTTTTCCAATATCTCGAACTTTCACGGCAAAAAGGTCATTTGCCCAAAATTCAATATATGTATGAGTGACAGGGGCTCAAGTTTGTATGGAAGTCTATGGGAAAACATTTGGTGGTGTTTGTCCTATAGAATAGGTATTATTTCATGGATAAACATTGATTACAGCCAAATAATCAATCAGTTCCTATTTTTTTGGCAATGAGAACATATTTTAGTTAGTTTTTACTATTTGTTTAAAAATTAGAGGGTTTGGGTAAATTGGGGCTCACAATGGGGACTGCACATGGTGAAAAAATGCCAAAATTTTTGCTCTAGCTCTCATTTTTTCAATAAATGTAGATGTAAATAGTTTTAAATTAAAATTTATGCTGAAATTTACTGTGAATATTGTAAATGATACAATATTGATATTTATGGGCATCATCAATTCACAAAACATATGAATATCCCCCTCGCAGTTTGAGAAATTCATTTAAATTCATGTATTTTATGAGTGCAGACATTGGAATAGACTGACTAATCCTCTTTCAAATTTGTGTTAATCAGAGTTGATTGTATAACTTATAACAAAATTAGACTTCTGTTAAATAATTAGGTTACTTTGATTTTAAACAAGGGGCCTAATCCAGCAGCAAAGCCAATTTTAGTCATGTAATCAGTGCTGGCTTGATATAAAAGTTATACTTTTGGTGAAACTTAGAGATTACTAGTAGGAAATTTAAATTAAAATACTGTAAAATATATTTTAGCAGAAAATACATTGAAAAAACAAGAAATTTGCAAAATTATTATTGAAAAAATGATGAAAAAAGTGTCTGAATATCCCTCCTCCTTGCCATATCTAATCTTGATTTCTGCAGAAAAGAAGGGGGGGGGGGTAATTTTGTACTCTAATGATGCTTGAAAATGAAGGATTTTTTTTAAATGTGGTTTATTTGAACAACTAAGAGTCATTCTTATCTGCAGTTATTTTTCCAATTTCTTAGATACTTTTTAAATAATTATCTGAGTAAATTGTATTTAAACATGATTAGTTTAAAGCTATTTCAGCACAAATGCTTATAAAAAAATTCAAAAGATGATGTAAATAATAAAAAAATACAATATAAGCTACTACATGCATTTATCAGTATGTTTTAATAAAATAAAATGTATTTCAGCAATGCATTCTTAAGATGGAGGAGATTAATGAACCCTCCCCCCTTACAATGAACAACACATGGACACTCTGAGGATGATCCCTTTGCTTCCATTAAGAGTTCCAAGGTATGGTTTTCTTAGAAAATCTAGTTAATCTCTTAATAATTAATTTATTTAGAACTTTTTATAGATTATTAGAAAATAAATTTCTTCAGAACTGCAGTTATTTAAGCACTTTGCTTACAATTGAGCAGTATTCAGTCGGACAATATGATTTATCTGCCCTTGGCATTTAATCAATTTATTAATTATGTCAATAATAATAAATGATATGCAAATAAATATGTTTGCCTTTTATGAGAATATACATATTTAACACCAATTACATAAAATGTTCATGGAAATTGGCTAAAATGTAGGTCACCCCCTTCAAAATTACAAAATTTTCAGTGGGGATGTATTTGATTCTCTGATGCCAGCAACCCGTTGCTGATAAAATTCCAAGTAATCTTATGTACATTTGAACTAGATATAATTCTCTTTCTTTCCATTGATTATTTTATCTACATTAGTTTTCCCTCTTTCCATAACTCAGTATTTTCATACAAAAAACTGCTGATTTTCTTCATTTTTCATTAATAACGGGTACCTGCTACCCTGAATGATAAACATGACCTATCTTGAGAATTTTTTAGAGATAATAAGAAAAACAAGCAAAACATATGCTAGATTAATCATTTTATTTCAAAAGTTTGAAAGAAAAATAGAAAAATGCTTCAATTTATAGACATCTTTTCTGTTTCACAGATGTGGGTCTGATTGACGGGGGTGTGAAATGTAACAGCCAATGGTGTACTTAAGCTAGGACTGACAGTCCCAATTTTCAAGAGGTGAGATAACCAATGGATATGTGTTCTAAATATACTAAATTGACCACTTTTTATAAATGTTTCTTTTACTCTATAGGAAAAACCCCTACATAAACAAATACATGGGCGCAGACATTTTGGACACCCAAAGTTGTGCGGAGGAGAAAATGCTAGCTGGCGCATGGTTGGTCAATAAGAGAAAAGACTTGTTATGTATCTGACTAGTGAAATAAAGTTGATAAAAATCTCATAGCAAGACTTGGGATTCTTTGAGATATATAGGAGTTACAGGTAAAAATTTGAAGGGAGGGGTACCCTTTGGTTAGAGATTTTCATTTGGTGTCAAACGCACCTTGTTGTAAACAAATGGAAATTGAAAGTAAAAGTGCCGCGTGACGGTATATTTTTTCTGGCATGTTTTGTTTTCCAATATCTCGAACTTTCACGGCAAAAAGGTCATTTGCCCAAAATTCAATATATGTATGAGTGACAGGGGCTCAAGTTTGTATGGAAGTCTATGGGAAAACATTTGGTGGTGTTTGAACAATAGTGCCCCAACACATATCTGAAATAACGTGATATTTGGATGTCAAATGTTCATATCAAAATAGGTTTTCTCAGTTACACTTAGGTCGAAAAACGTCGTTTTCGAGGTAGCGCCGCCTGTACATACAATTGCTCACAAAAAACATTACTTTTTTGTTAAAAAATAAAATGTATGATTTGCAGTTTATTCTATGGATAGAAAAGATGATGCTAACTAGATATTTAAGAATTCATTGATGTACCTAAAGCGGTTTAAATTTTATGACGCTAGTCCACGAACTTTTTGATACCCCCTCGTATATATACGAAAGTGAATATGTTCATGATATAAACTCAATACATTAGTTACAATTTCACCTTGGTTATCAAGTAAAGCGGTCAGTCTCGCGAATAACCTTTTGTGTTATATAAATATTTATTAAATGCATATCTATATCATATATTAAAACTTCACAAGTTTTTTAAAAGTGTTGAAATTTTGGATCTGGATACGAGTGAAAATAAATATACAACTGTGGTCGCAATTTTTTATTCATTGGGTTTTAAACCTGGAATAAGTGGCCACCGTCATGTGGCCAATTTGTATTCTCCCACAAGTGGCCTCTTAAAACAGGTTTGGCTGTATTATAATAGTTTCAAAGCATAGACTTACTTATTTCATGCTTTTGATATTTCTCATACGTAACAAAATTAGCTTCCTTCGGGCAAATCACAACAAATGTGACACATACTTTAGGGGGGGCAGTAAACGGGCTTTGACTGACCACGTGTTCCGTTGACTAAAAACTGCGCTGGAAAACAATTATTTAATACGATTGGCAGTTTACTGGGGGATTGTTGGATTCTGTTTTTCATATGTAAAGTAGTATTGATTTTAGTCAAATTAAACATATTCAATAAATGATTGATATAGCACTCAAATTGCAAAATTTTTACCACAGTCTATCAAACAAAGTGACACGCTGTTAATGGAATGATAGTACCTTGTGCAACACTACATTTCAGCTGACGCACAGACAATGAATAGAATTTACACAACTTGGTAGCTAAGAGTTCGCAAGTATGAATCTACCTATTTTTATTCCAAGCCACATATTCAATATTATTTTTGAAGTACTTTTAAAAATTATGAGGGGTGATCAAAAAGTTCATGAACCAATTGAATAACTTTCTTAAAACAAATAAAATTAGTTTTTAATGTTCATTATTTTTTAAAGTAGCCCTTGTTGATTTTTTGTTAAGCCACCGTTCTGCCCATGCACAAAACACATGATCCAGGCAGTCAGTAATACCCAAATATTCTGTTCATGGAAGCTATACCGGTCTTATATTTCTTAAAACATCAAG